AAAAAAAAAAAAAAAAAAGCCTATAAGATTTTTGTACTACCCAAAATGAAGTATTTCAGTACTTCAAATCAAAATTTGAAAACAAACCTCCATCTTGATTTCTTCAATATTTAGTAAAATTCTAAAATAAAGAATGTAATTATCTCTTCTTAAACCTTCCCCAATAACATCAGGAAACTGTTCCTTCTCTATCATTTCCCTTATATCCCCAGGAATGCGATATGAAGGAAGTCTGTATCTGAATCCTTGATTTCGTGCCCTTGTAGGACGAGAACCCACAACGAATGCATTAGGAGCAAAAACATCTACTGCTGGTGCTTTCTTCTTTCTATCTCTGTAGTATGGCCTGCTCGAAGCTAGTGACTGCGAGACCTTATCCTCAGCCAGGACAAAAACCAATCTTTCTACGGTCTCATCGCCAACATTGATATGCACAGCTGATGTGTGCAACCCAATTTCTTTCGGTTTACAAGACAACCACACTGTTAGTGTCTGACCTGGTCGTAGCATTCTATCCTCTAAGCTAAAGGACTCCATAAATTCTTGAACATATTGCATGTCGGAACATGGAGTTGGAGGTTTCATCAGAGATAGAGTGAACGAATCCTCAGGTTTCGAGTCATAAATCTTAATTGACCAGAGTTCCAGCGAATCATTAGTGGTATTCTCTATTGTGATTGAATCGACAATAGTTTCACCAACAATTCCTGATTTAGGTTTTCCCCCTATCAGTGGAAATGGAACAGATATAACAACTATCTCGCTCTCTCCATTTGGATTGTAGCTACAAGCTGATTTATATCTGTCAAAGTCAACGAATCCGATGTCTCCTTTATCAGTAATTATTGAATATTCATCATCCGACTTATCAGCAACTGAGCCCATGAGTACTTGAGAGAATTTCAAGAAGAACCTGCAGCTTTCAACCAAAGTAACATGACTTACTGCAACAAAGTAACCCTTCCATAACACTTAAACCAAATTGCTTTTACACAAATAATCTGATGTTTCAAATAAATCTAAGGAAAATCCAGGACTCTCAGTCCAAAATCTTTTATGAAAGAGAACGTTAATATGAATGTAGTTTTCCTTTGGAAATGCTAATGCACTGTAGAGAACATACCTATTGATACACAGGCTGTTATTTCTTCCATCTTTTACACATTATTCAGGTTAATAGGCCGTAGATGCACATAATTTTTTTCAAAGAAAGTAATCATAAATCCAGCATACCAATGTTTTATTCATGGATTATTCTTATGTATTTAACATTGTTATGAAAGCACATGGTTGTTCATTGTAACTTCTCCTTTTTGATACTTTAGGTGGTTTAACTGTTAAATATGCATTCAGTTTTTTAGATACTCTGAAAGTATATATAAGCCTAATCAACTTTTTTAATAACCCAGCCTAAGGTTCCAAAGTAAGTCAACCTCAAAAATAAACAGGTGATGGTAACACAACGGCTAATGGACTTCACAATTTGTTTTTCCTTCATTTATTTATCTACAAAAACTTCAGATGATTCATATAGAAACAGAATTACAAAAAACAAGTAGTAAAAAACAAATGATGTTAGCCCCCAGGGCTTAGTCCAGGCAAAGGTTGAGGGACTTGTGACTTAGGTCATAGGTTCGAGCCTTGCACAATAGGGGCGGCCCCTATGCCCGAGTTTCAAAGGCTGCAGTGGGTCCCAAGGGTTGGCCACCGATGGATTTCTCGGTCACCAAAAAAAGGAGTAGAAAATGATGTTAACTACTATAAAACATTGAAAATCATCAGGGTTTTGTGGATACTTGATGCCAAGAGGAAGAAAAAGGAATCAAAATAAGGACAAAAATTATAAAAAGTTTTCAGAAGATAACCGTGAAATATTAACTGTCAACAAAATAGAGAAATAAAACCATGTTTTAACATGAAGCATGACCGATCAAAATCCATAATCACAAACGAGGTAATAGTGCAGAAGATGAAATAAAACAGAAAATGAAGGAAAACCCACCTCAATTTTGGTCTCTAGGAAGGGAGAATACAGAAGGGTTTTAAACTTGAGATGAGGAATTGTGAAATGTCTCTTAACAAAAGAGAAAGAGACGACGAGTATAATTATCACTCTTTCAGATAAATTAGAGCTTAGAATTTGATAAAGCCATACTCTGATTAGTGAAGTGAGACCCAGTGCGTGACGAGGAGAAGAGAGTAGACTAGTCTTAAAAACAAAGTGGTGCGAATGTTACTTTTAGTAATAAAAAATAAATTAAAATGAGAGTTAGTAGTAGCATAATGAAAAATGAATTTGTGTGAATGAGAGATATAAGTAGTAGAGTATAAGTTTCCTATTTTTATAGGAATCAATGGAATTATTTTTCAAGTTGGCTGATTTGTTTGTTTTTCACTCGATGGATACTAAAGTTTTTCAAAACTTCATCATATTTATTTGATTTGAAGTTTCCATTGTGAGCTAAGTTTTGGTATTGTAAGATTGACCGCAACTATTATTAACGGGGAGTCGGAGACCATGACATATCAAAATCAGTTCACATAGTTGAGGGGCAACTATGTTGAAAGAGAAAAAAGAGTTCCGAAATCATAACTTCTCCATTTATCTGCACTGCAACAAACATCTGTAACTTGTCATTTTCTTGTGGACAAGTTCAAGTTTCACCCTTTGCTTTTTTTTTTTCTTTTTCTTACAAGAGAATTAATAGCATCCTTCCAAAACAAGGTGCTTCTGAATTCTGAGTCATGGCTCCCTCCCAAATCACTTTACCTGCTATCCTTGTAAATCTGTCTATTACTACTACTTTTTATTACTGTATTTAACATCCACAGATGAGAAAGAAAAGCAAGCAACAGGATATCTTCCTGTACATTGTAATTGAGTATACAGCATTCAACACATGATCAGATCTCTGCCTTTTCTTCATTGAAACATGATTAATTTGCACCATGTCACATTCTCTTCGCGTCATTGAATTTCTCTACCTAACTATAATAAAGAATCTCGGAACAGAACTATCATTTTCCCACTTGGAAATCCTTCTAACCGTTGGTTAAGTTCATCCTGTTATAATTGCCCCCCAAAAAAATACTGACTTAGTATCCAAAAGAAAGTAGACTCAAAACCACAGCTCATGAGCTCAGATTTCCAGCGTGTTGATACGCCATGTCTCTTGCATGGCTGGCCACAATCTCACCAAAGGACTCCAAACCAAGCCACCGAGCTCCACGCTTGTGTAGTTTAGTTGATAGTTATTAGGAAGCAGATAACTTGTCTCACCAAATGAATAGCATAATTACCTAACACAATGGAGGAAAGAGGACACTTGCATCAGAGTTGGAGCTTGTTAATGAAACATTAATAATTTGCTCCTAATGCAATGTTAACTTGAAGGAAAACAATGTGAATACTCACAAAAATTAGAGTATCTACCGAATACTGAGGCTTTATGTCCTCATTCTACTTCAGAAGAAACAGAGTTCGGTATAACCATGTGCATAGGGCAAGAGCTCCTCCACCTCAATTCTTGAGCTTGAACAACTCATTTTCCTCAATCTATTGCGTACTGACTCAACTTCAACCCAAAAAATACTGAAAACGGCTCTATGATCTGAAAATCTTGATTCCCCACGCACATAAGACAACTGTTGGAAACCCCTTCCATGCCACAGAATCCGATCACACCTTCAGATGGAAAACATATTAGTTCTAAACTAAATAGATAAATCCTTCGCTAGATATTTTAAAAAAGGGATGCAAAATTATTCTTCTGTTTTAATTTGTTATTAAATTTTAATGCTTTTGTTTAAGGCCTGTGATTTTAGATTGAAAATATTTATTTTTCAATATTCAAAGAAAAACACTTACCATGCAGGCGTTCGACGCTTCTCCTTTGGTTGAATGTCTTCCCCAGCATACTTATCTGAATTCCTAGAATATTTATATGTTGGTGGGAAATATATCTTTCCTTCTTTCCATCCCACAAAAACTCGACCACGTCTTTGTTCTATCCTCAGCTGTCAAGGAAATAGAAGACAAGATCACTTAATCAAACTAAATTAAGTTCAGGTAAAGGAGTGGGAGCAAAAACACAAGATTGCTAGGACACCTGGTCATTTCCCAACAATGCTCTCCAGTTTTGCATCTCAACAAGTGCTTTTGCAGAATGATAAGAAAGTGCAATCCGATAGTTCAAATCCCCAAGCCAAATAACCCGGCTGAAAAAGTTGGATAATCATCAGAAAAGGGATTCATTGAATATTTCAGATTGAACAAATTAAAAAATGTAAGCTAATCATGGTTTTACATGGAAACAACTAGGTGTATATTAAACTCAGGCCTTTCCACCTTTTTGCCCTCAATTATCCTCATAAAACAACAACTGGAGTTATTTTGACGAAGTAAACAGTCATCTTACTCGTGTTCAAGAATAGTCTCTGGTGATGGTGATTTCTCTTCACCTGCACCACTAACTTGCAGAAACCTCGTTTTCTTTAGGATCTCCATGACATCAGAATTTCTGCGCAACTCATCACCCTTTTTTTGACCAGAGGTTAAGTGAGAGCAAACAAAGCAAAAGCTTGTCTGATGCAACTGCATACTGATTGAAATAGATCCCTGCAAAACCAAGCATGGAATTGCACATTATGTTAAGTATTTCTTTTCTAAGTCGAGATATGCAAATCTCTAAATCAGCCAAAAGCTAACCAAGCTTTTCTCCACTTAAAATTACCTTATTCCTAAGGTAACCCATCAACCCTCTGCCAACACATGATATTTTCATATTCCCAACATGTTCCCTAAGATCACTCCGCATCCATACAGTGAGAAAAATGCCAACCATTTGTTTACTTGCTGCTAAACAGTAGGTTGAATTTTTGGGCATTCTATAACCGTCTTCCATAGGAGCGTACACTCCATTTGTCACAGGTGAAAACGAAGCAGTTGGTGAATCTGCAGGTCCATAATCATCATCTGACGAGCCCCATTTGGAGAAATCACTTGGCCTCTGTCCGCAGGAATAGTCACTAAGCCTATGGCCAGATGAATAATCGCTTGGCCTGTGACAAGATGAATAATCACTTGGCCAGTGAGCAGAAGTATAGTCGCTTTGCCTCTGCTCCCACCTAATATTAGGATCAAAATCACTAGACCTATGACCAAGAATTACTCGATCACAAACACTGTATCGTCCATCCATGCGAGGTTGCAAGATGGATGGATCATTTTCCATGATCCCGCATTGAGGAGTCTGGAATGAACGACGATGAAAGAAGGACGATGCCTTGTGTCTTTTTGACCCCTCAAAGTCAGCATTCCACTCGGCAATTGGATCTGGAACAGGAGAAGTGTAGCAACCATTACCTCCACTAGTACCAGGACCGCTGTTTAATGTCTTCCCGATCAAAGCCATCCACTTTTTGGCGGGGCCATTGTCTTCAACTCCCAGAATATTACCAGCATTTAGCGGAACTATTTCCTGAAATCTGAAAATGCAACAACAAATAATATTGCAGTCAACCAAGGTAAAATGTAACCCAAATGATGTTTTAGCTAACTGCGGTAAATGACAAACTTTGTAAAGAAAAAAAATGCGACGCAAATCATATAGCCCATACCCGAGTACATAAATATCTGCAGGGGGTGAGGAATGAAGCCATTCATCTAGATTCAAATTGCTCGGTGGTGATTCTCCGCCCACATTCCATGTAGAGACAAAGACTCTGAGCAATAAGAAATTAAGAATATTAGTAACTGAGTACCGAAAAACATTCATATTGTGACTGACTATATCAAGAAGACAAACCTATAATTTTGTACACTTATAATCTGAGGACGATCAAGATCGACACTTCCCCATGGGGGATGCTCCATACCCCTGGTTGATTTTTCTGGTCATTTGAGGGGGCAAAGAGACTAGAATTAGTTTAAGTCACTGAACAAGAGTCTCTTATATACTACAATTGGGAATTATATGCATCTAGAATACCAATGATGCCACTGACCTGTTTTAATCTTCTTCATTGTGCAGTGATCCCAGTCGGATATGCTTGTTCTCCGCTCATAACTTCCTAAAGAAGGGAAGATTAACATTACTTCCCAATTGAAGGGTTGGTGAAGTTGGTAAATATCAACCGTAACTCCAACAATTTTAAAAATTGCACAAAAAAGAAAAGAAAGCAAAGAGTATATATATACATATATTTAGAAAAAATTAGCTCAAAGCTAGAGGAAATTAGATGCTGACCTCCACGGACAGATTCATCAGACTGGAATTCCTCAGTTTTGCCCTTAATATTGAACCATTTCTCAACTAATTTTCTTGACCATGACAGCTTCAGCAATCAAAGGGGAAAATGTCAGTAAACCGATAACTGAGTTAGCACAAAAACAAAACTCCAAACTTGCATTTTACAAGGAATGAAAGCAAAAGGAAAGAAGGGCTGTGATAGAAGAATTCACCTTGCTTTTCTTGGAATACTCATCCCTCATTTTCTCACTGTTCCTTCATGCACCCTCTGTCACTATTTCTTCCCTTCCTCCTCTTCCAAATAATTCTGAATTAGAAATATTAAGAGTGATCCAAATAAAATCAACATCTGAAAAGTCTTTCTTAGTGCTACTTCAGTTTCTGATTAATTGTTGTTTTGTAAATGAACCAAAGATTATATTTTTGTCGGCAAAATCACTAATGATTATAGTAGAATTTACACACGGATTGCAGTATAGAGTAGGAGAAGAAAAAGGAAGTAAGACAACAGAGAGACAAAAATCACTTTTAAGTTTAGCACAAGATAATGTAGGCTAAATATATAAACAAGGAAGGAGAGAAAGAAACAAAGCCTCGTTTTCTGAAACAACAAAGTAAGACAACTTGAAGAGAATAAAGTTCAAACCATCCCCTTATCTGTATATGCTCTCTCTCTCACACACACACTCTCGCACTGGAGGAACTGTTGAACTGTTTTTTCCTTCTTTTCTTTTTGTCCAATTTTAATTGTGAAATTAGTCTATTCCCCAAAAAATTGTGTTTAGAAATAATTCACCTTTAACTTTTTATTTATTTTTTAATGAGATGATTAAGAAGCTATAAAAATATCATAACAATTTTAAGATCATCAATTTAAAAAGTCTTATTTCTTTTTAAATATGCCGTCACATAAAATAGACAAAAACAGGTACATAAATTATATTAGTAAAATAAAATTCTGATTAGTCAAAAAAAAAAAAAAATGTCGTTCTTATTCCTCACAATCTTGCACTATATCAAATATATCGTCGACGATTATTTTGTATCGGTTCCTAAGCGACATAACTTATTGAGATCTCTTCACTTTCTTTATTTTTAGGTACCTGAACTTCTTCGGGAGTTTCATGAAATATTATGTCGTTGGCTCTTCTAAAGCTCATTTCCTCCCCATTATGATCATTTTGATCATTAGCTCCCATCATTTTTCAAGGATTGTTACCTTTGGATCCGATTGGTCTGCCATGCTTGATGCGTACAGTAAACTCTATCCTTCAGGGACTTTAATTTTAATAGGAGCATTTGCAGCTGAAATATGATATTTAATTTTGGATCGGCAAATGCTTCTGGTATTTTACTTGAATTATCTTCTAAGTGAGGATCATATTAATGATAATTCGATTCATATAGCATATTTTTCAGCTGTTCATTCCATCCCCAAATGTTAGAAAAACTAACATATATCCCCAATCTTCTTTGGGAAATATATCTTGTGCATTGTGATAGAGAAATTAATCATATACCACACATCAAAAGATAGTATAGNTATATATGTTATCTTTTGCACCAAAAAAAAACTAAACTTACTAGGATCATACTTATTGTTACGCAACGCCTTCCTGATGTTCTTTGGAAGGGCTACGTAAGGCTAAGAAACCGATGTCAGTGCGGTTGCTGTCCGCCAATGAGGTCCCCTCCGCGCGCTAGACTAGATTGTCAGTGCCGTGCGGGAAAACCAATGTCACGAGCAATTGCGGAAGCTGAGAGAGAATTGGGTTTTGAATGATGATGATGATAATTTTATTGATGAATGAAATGCAGATTACAAAAGATGCGGTGTCAAGGGGGAGAGACACCAGTACAGAAAATTACTTGCTTGAAAATGTTTGATTGCTTGATCCCCCCTAATAATACTTAAAAAAAATAAACCAAAGTTACATGACTAGTCCTAATAAAGCTGTAGAAGCACACTGAATGAAAATGATGTAAACTAGCCTATAATTACAATGAAAAGGACTTAGTTTATTACAATGTAGAACCAAGTCCAATGGCAGCAACTTTGTCTTGCGGGTTAGGGTGTGCGTGCGGTGCTGTGGGCGCGCGCGACACTTGCTGTGTTGGCCTGAGGCTGGGTGCTTGTGCTTGGCATCAGGGTCTGTGCGCGAGGCGCTGCTGGAATGGGCCTGCAGTTGGGCGCTGGCGAGGCACCAGGATCTGCACGCGCGGCATTGTCAGGGCGCGCGACGCTGTTGTCATTGGCCAGCCACTGGGCGCTGGTGAGATGTATCGGTGGGGCGACAGAGGCGCATGTGCGCTTGTTACTTGGCGCAGCCAAGACCACGGGGCCGACCATGGCGCTAGACATTGTGAGGCTTGCTAGGCCGCCATGGGGCGCGACCAAGGGGTCATAGGGCGTGTCTGGAAAGCAGCCCATGACATTCTCCCCCACCTGAGTTGGCACCATCCTCGGAGCCTTATGATGATGATAATGATGATGATGATGATGATGATGATTCTTGTGGTTGTTGGATGGGAGGTCTGCGCCCCTCTGTTCTTTGAGCTTGTTGTTGTAGCGACGCAATGATTTCATGCGGTTGACATGGAAGACTGGATGGATCTTCCACCAGGATGGAGTTTTCACCTGGTATGTGGACTTCCCAATGTGTTTTTCAATGGGCAGGGGCCTGATGTATTTTTGTTGCAGGCGAGGGTCATGGGTCCCCTCTGCAAACAAGTACCGCTTTGGGATGCATAGCATTACTTTGTCCCCTATTTGATGTTGGGCAAAACAAAGATTTTGTTCGGTGAATCTTTTTGCACGCTCTTGGGCTTTGACGAGATAGCTCTGCTCTATCCCCATGTTGCGCTCCCATTCGCTCGAGAAGTTGGCAGCTCGAGGAGATTTCGGCATGGTTGATGCATTCACCGTTTGCGGGAGAAGCGGTTGCTGTCCGGTAACAATTTCAAAAGGGCTTTTGTTTGTATGATGGATTTTTTGAGAATTGAAACATAGTTGAGCAGCATCCAAGAGCTTCACCCAATGCTTCTGTGACCCGGTTGCAAAGTTGCGGAGATATTCCTCCAACATGTCATCGAACTGGTCTGTCTGGCTATCCGATGGTGGATGGATGTCTGAGTTATGACTCAATGTTGACCCAAAGCACCTGAAGAGATGGGTCCAAAGGTAGCTAGTGAAGCGTGAGCCGCGCCTACTAACAATGTCTTTGGGCAAGCCCCAATGTTTGACAATGTGCGAGAAGAAGAGTTGAGCTGTATCTTCTGCTGAGATGTTCTGCGGGGCTGCTATAAAGGTTGCATAGTTAGAAAATTGATCTATGACAACCAAGATGGATGCAAGATTACCGACTTGGGGCAATCCCGTGATGAACCTGAGGGAAACACTTTCCCATGGTCTCTGAGGGACATGTAATGGCTGCAAGGGTCCCGTCTGCGATGATCCGACTTGTTCTTGTGGCATGGTTGACAAGTCTTCACACACTGAGGAGCGTCACCAGTCTTTTGAGGTCGATGACATGATGGCTGATTGTTGCTGCGAAGGGTAGCCATAACCAAGGGTTCAAGTCTGCTGACTACCTTCTCCAACTGCATGGCCGAGATGTTTTCACGGCCATCTTTATGGGAAAGCATGGTATGGTGCAGGGTTTGGCCCCGTCTTCTCTCAACATCAGGAGCATGTTGGCATATGGTACTGGTATGGTGTTGGTCTACCTCATGAACTCCAAACCCACTATCATGTCGAAGTCATCTATGATTGCGATGCGCAGGTCGATGCTTCCTTTGTATGGGCCAAGTTTCACTGGGACATCTGTAGCTGTTCCACCCAATGCCTGGGGTGGCGAGTTGATGGCCTTGACGCGACCTTTGCTCTTTTGCACAACAAGACCTAGGCGCTCTACTTGAGTTGAAGCCAGGTAGTTGTGGGTAGCACCCGTGTCTATCAATGTGTGAAGGGGCTTGCCGTTCACTTTCAATTCGACGAACATTAGGGTCCTCGCTTGTTTAGGAGGCCTCTCGTCCATCTTTTCCTTCTCTTTCTTGGTGATTGGGGCTGAGATTTTCTTAGGAGGACATGCACTGGTCCCCGCTAAGGCATGTGGGATAGAGCCAACAATTGCATTGAAGGCGCCTACCTGGTCTGATTCTGATGTGTCTGATGCATCTGACTCGTCCTCGACAGTCTAATGAGCATTGACATTTATGTTTGGGCATTCATTGTTCCAATGTGCCCCGCCGCAATGAAGGCATTTTGAGGGAGGCTTTCTCCCCTGATTGTTGTTGATTGATGCAACACTGTTGCTGCTGGAGGGAGGAGTCTTAGTTTTGGATGCACTCCGATCTCCCCCACTTTTGCTTGGGCTACCATTGATGGGATGGTTCCCGTTGAATCCCCCTCGGACAGACGGCTGGGGTCTATCGTTCTGAGTTCCTAAATGATAATCGCCAAGACATTCTGCAGCTTGAATAGCCTTGGGCAGGGTGTCTACCCGTTGTCTCTGTAGTTCCATACGGGCATGAGGTTTCAAACCTTCTATGAATGTGAAGAGTTTGTCTTTGTCCCCCATGTCGCGTATGTTTAGCATGAGTGCGGAGAATTTGCACACGTACTCCCGCACTGATCTGGTGTGGTGGAGCTCCCATAGTTTTCTCCTTGCATTGTATTCCACATTTTCGGGGAAGAACTACATGCGTAGTGCTACCTTCAATTCATCCCATGTCTGGAGAGTATCTTCACCGACCTTGATGGCTTCGTATTTGACCCGCCACCAAAGTTTGGCATCGACCTGAAGATACATGGCAGCAGTTGCTACCTTTTTGGATTCTTCCAAATGGCCCACGACATCGAAGTATTGTTCGATGTCGAAGATGAAATTTTCCACTTCTTTAGCATCCCAGGATCCGTCGTATGGCTTTGGCTTCGGTATCTTAAGATTTTGTGGAATGGGAGTGATGCTTGCTGCACCTCTGATGTGGTTGTCGCCTCCTCGAAGTAGGCTCTGTAGGGCAGCATTTACAACATTGAGCTTGCCTGTCAAGTCGTCTATTGTTTGCTGCATGGCAGTTAGTTTGTCTGCCTCAAATTTGCCATGAATATTGGCAGTTTCAATGGCTGTCGTTTGTCGGTCATCCTCAGAGTCACAACTGATGTTTGCAATGTCATTTTTTGCCTGCCGCATTTAGCGGTCCAGGTCGTCCAACCTTTGCACTAGGTTGTTATTTTGATCAGGCACCATATCCACGATGGGTCGTAATCAGTCAACCGTCTCTTCTAGGGATGCTAGGCGCTCCTCATGATTCACCATGGTTAGAAATGGTGATGATGGCAAATGTGTTCCCTCGTCCGATGTCGAGTCTAGGCTCTGATACCAACTGTTACGCAACGTCTTCCTGATATTTTTTGGAAGGGCTACGTAAGGCTAAGCAACCGATGTCAGTGCAGTTGCTGTCCGCCAATAAGGTCCCTTCCGCATGCTAGACTAGATTGTCAGTGCCGTGCGGGAAAACCAATGTCACGAGCAATTGCGGAAGCTGAGAGAGAATTGGGTTTTGAATGATGATGATGATTTTATTGATGAATGAAATGTTGATTACAAAAGATGCGGTGTCGAGGGGGAGAGACACCAGTACAAAAAATTGCTTGCTTGAAAATGTTTGATTGCTTGATCCCCCATAATA